CCCCAAAACCCCAAAACCCCAAAACCCCGTGGTCATAAAATCTCTTATTACCAGAGATATTAAATATTAAAAATTATTAATAAATAATCGTTAAGTCAAAGCTGACTAAAATCTACCACGAAAACAGCATCCAAATAGTTTTCATTAAGCTCAAATCTTTTGAGTATAGACTACCTTCCATCATACTCAATGATGATAATTTGTAGGAGTCCTGGCTCTAAATCATATCTCTCTATAATCTCCATCTACTATTAAGGGAATGGCGCCATCAGATTAATTGATTAAATGATTTGCTTGAATTGATTGGTTTCAATATCTACTAGGTTAATTCCGTTTTCATCTCTAATCAATATAAAATTGCTATCTCCTTTTTAACTAATATGCCTCCTAATGCATACAGGCCCAGCATTTGGGCCTCCTATAATTGACTTCGTTATTTACCTAGTTTCTCTATTTACTAAATAGAGTAACTTGTCATCATCTAGTGACACAGCTAACTATCTTGGTTAAGTCCTATCCAATGAAATTACTCCTCTAATATGTCTATCATCAAAGTAAGATTCATCTAGCTTAGTAGCCATATAACTCTCATTCTCTGAGCAGTAATTCATTTAAATAAAGAAAAGACCATTATCTGCGGCTACGCATATATCATCACAGTAATCAAGTTGCTTAAGCTATATAATATGCCTTACATTCTCTAACTTTTATGAATAAATAATCTTATTCTCTACAACATCAAATACCTCGATGAAGCCCCTTCTTTCTCCTAGCATTATGCATTGTTTATTTAGTTAAATAATATCATAGGCATTGTAAGAGAGTGAAACCTTGGTGATTCGATTAAACTAATCATCGCATATGATAAGGCATCTATTTTGGCAACCGAAATAATACCTATCCTTGACATTAAAAGCACAAATTAGGTTTTATTCATCGCTGTTGACAGTCTGAACAAATCTGAAATCATCAACTGTAAAAATGTCAATGTTGTTGTTAAGACCATCAATAAAGACATATCCATTATGACATAGAACTGCATATGATCTTTCTCTCTTGTATGCCATATATCTTCTAAGCTAGGCAGGGATTATTTCTTGTGACGCCTCATTATCAGATTCATTATGACTGATGCCTCTGATCCTAGGCTGAGGTTTCCCAAGCACTGCTTTTTAATTCTATAAAACATATTCATAATTTAATCTTACAAAAAGTGATCCTGGCTTTTTAAAGTGAGATAAAATAGCCTCCTTTGATTTTCTTTGTATAATTTCAGTTAGACTCAAATTAGTCTGATTTAGCACTGTTTGCAGATACAGATTCTTTATACTTTACTTGAAGTCAGGAGGATGTAGCTATTGTTAAACATCACTAGTGCAAGTCCCCTACTCCTTAGTCTTGATTCGTTTTTAAAGTCCTTAGTCGCATACACTTTTCCTTAGCTCGAATACCATCTCTGTAAACTATTATAACTCTTAAGCAATTTCTTATTTTACTTAGTTGTGCTATTCTATTATCATGTCTTTCATTTCTCTATGACTTAGTTCCTCAATTACATCGCAAGCTTGATCTTAAGTCATTAAGCCTACTTTAATTTCATTCTAATTTGATTAATCTTATTTAGGGGCCTCAAGATAGGAATCGTGCTGTTTAAACGTTGAATTACCTCTAAAGTAAGCTGATTCATCTTATGTATCATACTATGTGTCTGAGTCCATTGTTGTTACTCTTAAATACTAAGGTTTTATTACAGGTTCTAAGTTCAGTTTTAAATCATATGTCTGCAAAGCTTCATCTCTCTAATCGCAATTATTTTACAATTGGTTTATAATCCAAATAGGTTCTAGATTCATCAAACTGTAACATTAATTACTCTCTTAATGATCTACAACTTTATTAATTTCGAGTTCAAATTTTTATATTTCAAGCTACTTTGGCTATAATAATATTTAGCTTGAAATGCAGTGGAGATTTATATCTAGAGATATCTTTTATTTATCACCTAATGTATAAAGCTCAATTTTCTCAAAGATTAATTCATTCTCTAAATCTTTCTGTTTATGGTTAGCTTTATTGATTTTACATGAATCAAGACTTAAATTGTCAAACATCAATTGCTTATCTGAGGACAATTTCGTCAAATGTATTAAATCAAATTGCGTTTACACTAATATTTTCTACTCCTTTTCAGTATTTTTTTATGCAATAATCTCATAATTGAAAGCTTTCTAAAAGTCTATTTTAGAATTTACCTTTAATAAATCCTCCTAAATCTATGTTGTTTAGCACAAGCTAAGACCTATTACGCAAGTATCAAGTTCAATTGTACTTTCTTTATGTGTTAAATTTTCTTTGGGAGGAACTAAAATCTAGCATACTTATATAATTTCTTGCTAAAACTGAGAAGGAATTTTAATTATTTAGACTTCATCAAATTCTATTCTAGCAAAAGTTAATTTATCAACCTACTAATTTTTACTCTAAAACACTGAAACTTAAGTTACGCTTTCTAATTAAGAATCTAGTCTTAAGGCTTGCTTCGTTATTTGAATTTCTGATATGCTTTATTCAATTTTCGCTTAAAGCTATGGATCACATTAGATTTCTTAGTCTTAACAAATATTCAAGCTAGCTATTATACATTCTTCTAGAATCTAGCTTTATATTTAAAGCTCTCTTGATTAATCCTTTACCTGCTTAATTATTGATAATTCAAGTACTAAATCGAATTAAGTAATCGTAAGTTCATTTATTATATCTGCTTCTAATGATGTTTAAGTTTAATTATCTTTTGAACTATGATTCTGTGATTGATTTAGTATTTGTAAGTTCATGCATATATTTTAAATGCTAGTATCTTAATATTATGTGTGTAATTCTTAGAGTTGAGGAGCCATTTTGATACATTCTATTTAGAATACTTTCTCAGTTTAGATTGCAGAAGTACCTCTAGGTGAATTAGAGAACATAATTGGTAAAATTTGCACATCTAGTACGTTTTCAAAGAAATATTTCATATAATCCTCTGCAGACCCTTTTTATAGCACTCTGTTTTCAGACATTACTTTTTATCTACCATTTGATTTTCCCTTTATAATGTATGGCTATGGCTATTATTGAAGCTAATGTTGAATAACCTACACTTAAGCGTTTTACTCTGCCCTAATTTCTATTTAGAGTATGCTATCAAGTTTCAGCTCAGGTAATAAAGTATACTATGGTAGAACTCTAATAATTTAAGCATCTACTAAAAGGTTTTGAATGCTCAAATCTTCATCAATTGCCTTAGGTTCAAGCAGGGTTTACAGAAGAGTTTTCTTATTTTTATTCTTATGCTTCTTGTGTTTCTTTTTTGCCTAATTTTTAAGAGTATCTAAAGTAAATACCTGGGGGCATACGCACAGCTCATTTAGAGATATCACTTCTTATAATTTCTGTCTTTATGAATTTGATTAACAGATTTAGATATTCATTCTCTCAGTAGTGATATCAAGAGTTTTGAGGGACTATAGTACTGTTTGAATCGGAATTCCTTACAATGTAATATTCTATTGAATTAAGTTATCTACCGACTAACACTTAATTATAGAATTTTCCTGGACATGATTTTACTATTCAAGTGTTTTCTTTATTTAGGTACTTTAGATATCAAATTAGAATTCTTTAACTAGGTTAATATTTTTAGGAGTTTAGACTATGCTATATTCCAAGATAGTTGCTGGAATGTCTAATATTTAATCATTTTTTGCTTATTTGATATCAAATTAAATCTCAGAACTGTAATTGCAAACATTCTATCTATTCGGTAAATCAAATTTAAAAATCTAATAATCAAGAGCAAATTAATCTTAATCCAAATCTCCGTTATCTATAACATTTATATCATTTGATTAATTATCATTCTATTCAAAGTACTCTTCAAACTTCAGGCTTAAAATTTCTATTAATCCTGATACTATATCCTAACTCTTTACAGCCTTAGAGGACTTCACAAAGAATTTGTTACTGCCTAAATCAATTTTGAAATTAATTCCTTATTTTTATACTATATTTTATCTGGCCAACTTTTTAACTTTTTTGTCCTGTCTCTCAGTTTATACATCAATATCTTACCGGATTACTTTAGGGCAATTGTTTATTACCTCTAGCTCGACTACTTTTGAAGTGATAATATTACTAGACTAGTCAGAGTATTTAATCATAAGTTTATCATACAGACTTAGAGAACTCTAACTCATATCTGTCTGAATATCTGCATCAAGCAATCTCCTTTTGTTATTGCATTCAGATTGATAAATATCGAAAGTCTAAATGATATTCTCAGAAAAAATACTATGATAATCTTCAGTTTATAAGCCTATATCTTCTTTATACTGTGCCACATACTATACTTCCTGATCATTCTTATCAAAGCAAACCTATACCTCTTTATCGATCATCTCATAAGCAACATTATGCAACTCCTCAAATTCAAAAGCATCTTAGACGAGAATGTTATTCTGATTGTAATCTCTACTTCCTTTCTTTCTATATATTTAAATGCTCTCAGTAAATATATCTCTATGCTTTCTAAACTGGTCTACATCATCATTTATGCCTGCCACTATTTCTTCTCCTTCTTTATCTTCTATTTTATCCACTCCAAAGTCAACCAAAATTTCCTCATTATGCTCATTGCGCACTTTGATAGAGAACTCCTTGCTTTCGTTATTCATGTCTCTGCTTTTACTTAATACTTATTCTTCTTGGTATCTGTCGAAAAAATTATAAGAAGGCGATGAGCGTTGCTTTTTTCTATCAAGTTGATTATCGTCATCATTATCTTCAACTGTATTGGGCTAATGATCATTATCTATTTCCATATCATCCATCATATTGACTTAATCTTCATCCAAATCTCCCATCACCTACTTGTCATCACTGCTATGCTCGAAGTCTTACTCTTCCAGCTTGCAAAGACTACTAGCCTAGGACATCCATTTATTCTCAAGAGATTTTAGCAGTGGATTTAACTACCTAATATTCTGCAGTGACTTTGAAACCATTGCATTGCTATCAATTTTCCTAGAACTATTGTTTTTTGACATATTTTTGTCTTCGTATAGATGATCCATATTATACTAATAACCCTAATTTCTAGCTGTATGTGCTTCAAATGCTTGAGGTTGCAATCTTTCTTCAAATATGCCTTAGGTATCTAGATGCAGTTTAGGCTCATTGTATTCTGAAATGTAATTGAACTCTTCGTATAAGATCTTTCCTAATTGATCTTGTACAGCTTTAATCATTTCACAGAACTAGTCTCTCTTGTCATGCATTAAAATGGTATTGTTTAGAGAGTTCTTTTTACTTACACTTAATCTTATTGAATCATCCTTCTTGCTTCTGCTCATGCTGTATCTAATCAGATTGCCAAGTTAAGATGAGTCATTCGATTGTCTAAGCTAGTTGTCAAGCTTCTTATTGCTACTTGGCTCTACTTTCTGCAGGTCTTGCTAAATACTTTCCATTATAGTTTTTATTTTATTTTGAACATCTCCTAGCTTCTACATCAATGGTCTACTATCAGCTTAGCCCTAACCCATTAAAATAAGATTATTATCTACCGCATAAGACTTTCTAAGTTCATTCTACTCATGAATCAGTCTATCAACTATCACAGTCGCATTGTTTTCGTCTCCAGAGGGTTTGTGTTCGTGATAATAAGAGTAATTCTAAGGCATCATGTAATCGAAGTCATCTGCTTTGTCAACAATAACAGATGACTCAATTATGCTGTTTTACTGATGTTGAGCCTGAGACTAGTGCTCCTTAAACTTATGCTTTCGCTAGAGCTCTTTATCTCTAATGTCATTAGTTTTCTCAATGGATTGCAGGATCATCTAGTCTAGCTTGAAGTTATACTCTTTACAAACCTTTGCAATCAAATTCTAAGCCTCTTCTAAAGACAGATAGCCAAATAGAGTGATAAGGAAATCAATGAGTGCTCGCTTTGCAGCTTGTTACTCCTTTTACTTAGTTTTGAAAGTTCTTTCTTAAAGTCTTAGGACTTGAGCCTTGTAAGTTATGACATCTCTCAAAGTCTCTAATTCCTAGATATCTATTGTTATTAAATCTCTAGGGGTGATTGTGCTGCCTCCAGTTGGAGTTGGGGTTTCCCCTCCTGGAGTCTCATTCCCATTGTTTGATTCCATTATTTATTACACTTTAATAAGATTTTAGCTCAAAATTAAAGTTTAAACGTGATTTAAATTCTATAATTCTATGATTGCATCTTATTTAGATTGATGGGGTTTTGGGGTTTTGGGGTTTTGGGG